GCGTTCGCATGGCGGCCTCGGGCCCATTTCGGCACACCCCTCACGAGGATCGTGGCCCCATAGGGAGCTCCACCGAAGGCCCAGTGGCAGGGTTCGCATGGCGGCCCCGCCCATTTCGGCGCACCCCTCACGAGGATCGTGGCCCCAAAAGGGAGCTCCACCGAAGGCCCCAGTGGCAGGGTTCGCATGGCGGCCCGCCCCATTTCGGCGCACCCCTCACGAGGATCGTGGCCCCATAGGGAGCTCCACCGAAGGCCCCAGTGGCAGCGTTCGCATGGTGGCCCCACCCCATTTTGGGCGCACCCCTCACAAGGATCGTGGCCCCATAGGGAGCTCCACCGAAGGCCCCAGTGGCAGCGTTCGCATGGTGGCCCCGCCCCATTTTGGCGCACCCCTCACGAGGATCGTGGCCCCATAGGGAGCTCCACCGAAGGCCCCAGTGGCAGCGTTCGCATGGCGGCCCCGCCCCAGTTTGGCGCACCCCTCACGAGGATCGTGGCCCCATAGGTAGCTCCACCGAAGGCCCCTGTGGCAGCGTTCGCATGGCGGCCCCGCCCCATTTCGGCACACCCCTCACGAGGAACGTGGCCCCATGCCCCAGTGGCAGCGTTCGCATGGTGGCCCCGCCCCATTTTGGCGCACCCCTCACGAGGATCGTGGCCCCAAAAGGGAGCTCCACCGAAGGCCCCAGTGGCAGCGTTCGCATGGCGGCCCCGTCCCATTTTGGCGCACCCCTCACGAGGATCGTGGCCCCATAGATAGCTCCACCGAAGGCCCCGGTGGCAGCGTTCGCATGGCGGCCCCGCCCCATTTCGGCACACCCCTCACGAAGATCGTGGGCCCACCGAAGGCCCCAGTGGCAGGGTTCGCATGGCGGCCTCGGGCCATTTCGGCACACCCCTCACGAGGATCGTGGCCCCAGAAGGGAGCTCCACCGAAGGCGCCAGTGGCAGCGTTCGCATGGCGGCCTCGTGCCATTTCGGCACACCCCTCACAAGGATCATGGCCCCACAGAGAATTCCTCTTGCTTCGTCCCACCTGCCCTGCGGTATTCACGTTTGCATATGGTTGGGTCCTTCGCCAGGATAAAATTTTCGCGTCCATCCGCGCTCCTCTGCCCTCTTTCCTACATAACCACACGCCTGGCCTCCCTCGCCCCTCCTTCCGCGCGCCTCCGACCCTTCTTGCAACGCAGCGCAATGTCACATGTATGAACCGATGAGTGCCCACTTCGCAGCAGCCCCCCACTGCACTCGGGCCCGCGCAATTATCCTGATGATCCAAGCCTTTTCATCAGAGGCCTCCTCATCATGATCAGAATCCTCATCATCACAATCATCAGCATCATCATCATCATCGTCATCATCATCATCATCATCATCATCATCATCATCATCATCATCAGCATCATCATCACCACCATCATCATCATCATCATCATCATCAGCATCATCATCATCATCATCGTCATCATCATCATCACCGCCATCATCATCATCATCATCATCATCATCATCAGCATCATCATCATCATCATCATCATCAGCATCATCAACAGCATCATCATCATCATCATCGTCATCGTCATCATCATCATCATCATCATCATCACCATCGCCATACTGTGCATCATCAGCAGCAGCATAATCATCATCATCATCATCATCATCATCATCATCAACAACAACAGCATCAAGATCATCATCATCATCATCAACATCAGAAGCAGCATCAGCATCGGCAGCATCATCAGCATTATCATCACCACCATCCTCATCATCATCATCATCATCATCATCATCATCATCATCATCATCATCATCGTCATCGTCATCGTCATCGTCATCGTCATCATCATCAGCAGCAGCATCATCATCAACAACATCAACAACATCATCATTACCACCATACGCAGCATCAGCAGCAGCAGCAACGGCATCATCATCCTCATCATCAGCATCATCATCCTCATCATCAGCATCATCAGCATCAGCATCAGCATCAGCATCAGCATCATCATCCTCATCTTCTTCCTCCTTCTCCTCATCATCAGCATCATCATAATCCTAATCCGCATCCGCATCCTCAGCAGCAGCATCAGCAGCAGCATCAGCATCAGCATCATCATCATCATCATCATCATCAACAGCATCATCATCATCATCATCATCATCATCATCATCATCATCATCATCATCATCATCATCATCATCATCGTCATCGTCATCGTCATCATCATCATCACCATCGCCATACTGTGCATCATCAGCAGCAGCATAATCATCATCATCATCATCACCGTCGTCATCATCAACAACAACAGCATCAAGATCATCATCATCATCATCAACATCAGAAGCAGCATCAGCATCGGCAGCATCATCAGCATTATCATCACCACCATCCTCATCATCATCATCATCATCATCATCATCATCATCGTCATCGTCATCGTCATCGTCATCATCATCAGCAGCAGCATCATCATCAACAACATCAACAACAACATCATTACCACCATACGCAGCATCAGCAGCAGCAGCAACGGCATCATCATCCTCATCATCAGCATCATCATCCTCATCATCAGCATCATCAGCATCAGCATCAGCATCAGCATCATCATCCTCATCTTCTTCCTCCTTCTCCTCATCATCAGCATCATCATAATCCTAATCCGCATCCGCATCCTCAGCAGCAGCATCAGCAGCAGCATCAGCATCAGCATCATCATCAGTATCATCAGCATCATCAGCATCATCAGCATCATCAGCATCATCAGCATCAACATCATCATCATCATCATCCTCATCATCATCATCATCATCATCATCATCATCATCATCATCATCATCATCATCATCAAAATCATCATCATCAGCATCATCATCGTCACCGTCACCGTCACCGTCATCGTCAGCCTCATCAACACAGTCGTCGTCATCATCAGACGCCTCCTCCTCCTCCTCCTCGACCTTATCCTCATCATCAGAAGCCCCCCTTCGTCATCGCCAGGCTTCCCATGCCGTGCGGGCCCGCCGGGCGCGGTCGTTTCTCCCGCGGCCCCACTGGCCGATTTACCTCCCCCCCAGATGGGGATATGGGCCATTCCCTCCGGGTTTCGAGGGGTGTGTCCCCAACCGGGGTGGTAATTTGGCGGGGGTCTCGAAGGGTATGGGGATGGGGATGGGGATCGGTGAAACGATACTGAGAAGTAGGCACCAACACCAACACGAAGGGTCGCCTCTACAGGGGGAAGAAGATCCTAGATTTCGGTGTCGGTGGTAACATTTTGGCCACCTCGGAAGCCAGAATATCAACACCATCACCGAGATCGGGATGTTCGTCCCGGTGGAGGCACAACGCCGACATTGGTGTTGGTGTCAACCTCTAGGCCTGCGAAACTGACGCACGGCAGTTGAAATGCGGCTGCGTCAGGTGCATTCAACACGTAAAATAAGGATGCGCGCCAAGGATGCAAGAGCCTTGGGCGCCCATGCCGAGGCTCTTCGGGCGCGGCTGACCTTCGAGAGCGGCTGAGGATGGACCGAAGATAACCGAAGAGGCGAGGATGCAAGGGTACCCTTGGGAAGACGGTCATCCTTACTGTGCGGGTCGACTGTTTTGCGAAGGCCCCCGTGATTTGCACGCTTCTTGGTGCTTTTTCTACACGGGTGGCGCCATGAGCAGCATCTCAGAATACGAGGGGTCGCCTACGCATTGACGCACGCCCTGGATCATCCAACTCCCTGCTTACGTTTCCGCGTTGACTCCTTGCTGGTTGCCAGGCGGCTGAGCTTGGCAAGGAGATGTGTGTCCCCAGGATTGCGGCCTTCGTGCATGCGAGCGCTGGCGTTCTTGCGGCTCGTGCGTTCCATGCGCACGGTGCATCTTGCCGAGATCCAGCATGCTAACGTTATACATATGTAGAATATACGAACATATATACATGTACATAGAACAATCGCGCGCGCTTCGCGCGCGCTCAAGTTCTAGCTAGGCTGGATGGTCGCACTCGTAGGGACCTATTCCGTGACACCGCTTCGTCTGGGAGGAGGAGGAGGAGGAGGAGGAGGAGGAGGAGGGGGAGGGGGAGGAGGAGGGGGAGGGGGAGGGGGAGGAGGAGGGGGAGGGGGAGGAGGAGGAGGAGGAGGAGGAGGAGGCGGAAGACGGCCCAAGTGGCTTCCAAGGCTTCTTCCTGCGGTCCACCCACGAAGGCTCAAGACAGGCCGCAAAAGGCACTTCGGGGGCCCTTTGCTATTCGCCGCGGCTGGACGCAGCGACGAGGAAGAGGGAGGAGAGAGGGGGAGGTGAAGGGGTTCCCTGGGGGAGAGGGGAGAAGGAGAAGGAAGAGGATGAGGAGCTGGAGAGGGTGGAAGAGGCCGCAGAGGAGAAGGAGCCGGAGGAGGAGGAGGAAGTCTGACATGTCCTTCTTCTGCAAGCGCAGCGAAGCTGCCAGGGGAATTTTCAAAAAAGAAATGTTGGGGTTCCCGTTTTTTCTCAAGTGCCCTCGGGGCCTCTCTCGGGGCTCTTCTGGGCCTCGTTGGGGCTTTTTGGGGACCTCTTGAATCCTTCTGGGTGTCTCCTGGGGCGAAGATCTCGAGTTCTCGCTTCACGTTCCCGATCCTGGGCCGTGGTTGGGGCCCTCTCGGGCCGTGGTGGACATCTCTTCGGCGCCATCTTGGGGCGCTTTTGAAGCCTGCTGGGTCATCTTGGGACGTTTTGCAGCGTCGGGAAGCGGAACAGGCGGAAACGCCAAAATTGCCCAAAAACCTATGGAAAATAATTGTTGTTCAGTCTCTTCGAGCTTTGTTGGGAGACCTCTTGGAAGCCTCTTGGGTATCTTGGGGACCTCTTGGGCCGTCTGAAAGCCGTCTTGGGCATCTTAGACCATCTAGTGGCCTTCGGCTCATCCCGCCACCGTGCCTGGGTTGTGGGTTAGAGGCCTTTTGGAAGTTCGCTTGGAATTCGTGGGAGGCCTCCCGGGGGCCGATTGAAGGCAGTTTTTTTTGGAGCAGGAAAACACTACCGCATGCGTCACCCGAATGGGCGTACTTGTCATATACCCACATTTCAATGTATCCAGCATGGTCACGCGAAGGTTGCCGCTGCAACCGACGACTCGGAAGAAGGAACCTGGCCACTCCTCACTGCTTCTAGCAAAGGAATGTGTTTGGTACAAGACGCCGGGGGAGTCATCGCGTCCTTGTGGTCGTCTTCCCCCAGCAAACCTCCGACGGCAAACCCTGATCGCCCTAAATGCTTCACAAACACATTCAAGTACAGGATGCCACTCTCTGTGCGTCCATGGACGACTTTCAGCTCTACCCGGCCAATAGCAACCCATTGCGGACTCGTCCTAACGCTTTGCCGTACGCCGTAGTGGTACCCTCCAACTTGCTTAGCCTCTGCCCAAGAGCCTGTAATGTTCAGTTCTTGAAAATACATATCCGAACAACTTCCACCAAGGCGGCGCGCATAGGCCTGCACACGAAGCAATGCGTCTTCAGCGCTCACTCCACGAGGGATGTTTATCAGAACATGTTTGCCCGCCTGCATTAAATCAAACCGCTCGCCGTGAACATTCTGAAGGTGGGGATCGCCGGTGGCAGCCACGCCTCCGGCAGCTCCACCCGGCATAGGAGCTGCGGGAAGAAACGTTGGTTGTGGCGTCGGCCAACCCAAAGGATATGTCGGGCTGGGCGTCGGGCTAGGGGTCGGGAACGGCGTCGGGAAGGCCGTCGGGTAGGGCGTCGGGAAAGCTGTTGGGTAGGGCGTCGGGAAGGCCGTCGGGTACGGCGTCGGGAAGGCCGTCGGGTAGGGCGTCGGGAAAGCTGTTGGGTAGGGCGTCGGGAAGGCCGTGGGGTACGGCGTCGGGTACGGCGTCGGGTTCGGCGTCGGGTTCGGCGTCGGGTACGGCGTCGGGTTCGGCGTCGGGTTCGGCGTGGGCTTCGGCGTCGGGTACGGCGTCGGGTTCGGCGTCGGGTTCGGCGTCGGGTACGGCGTCGGGTTCGGCGTCGGGTTCGGCGTCGGCTTCGGCGTCGGGTACGGCGTCGGGTTCGGCGTCGGGTTCGGCGTCGGGTTCGGCGTCGGCTTCGGCGTCGGGTACGGCGTCGGCCTCGGCGTCGGCCACGGCGTCGGCTTCGGCGTCGGATACGGCGTCGGCCTCGGCGTCGGCCACGGCGTCGGCCTCGGCGTCGGGTACCGCGTCGGCCACGGCGTCGGCCACGGCGTCGGCCTCGGCGTCGGGTACCGCGTCGGCCACGGCGTCGGCCACGGCGTCGGCCTCGGCGTCGGGTCGGGGCGTCGGCCACGGCGTCGGCCTCGGCGTCGGGTCGGGCCCTTTCGCTGCCAGAGCCCTGTCCAGGGACCGTTGATCATCCGCGTCCCGGGAGCCCCTGGAGCTCCTGTCCATCAGCACCTCAGCCGCCTGGGAGCTGCTGGGGCTGGCCACCCTGCAAAGGCCACACGTTGCAGGGCAGGTCGCTTTCACAGTGCTGCCGTACTTCGCATCTTCGCAATAAGGCTGCACCGCAGCACAACCACTGATAGTGACGCCGATGCCGCTTGCCAGCGCAATAATTTGGGCGTCGTCATCTGCACACTTTTGCTTGGAACTCACACCGATCGAGGTCACAGTGGGTACGCTGATGCTGAGGACGACTGCAACCACGGACCACACGGTCCAAGGTGCCTTCTGGGCCACCATCCCACCTGAACAGGAAAGAAAGGACCCGCAAGCCAAGTGTTTTCGCGTGTGTGTGATTTGATGACGGACAAAATGGAAGCTGCACCAAGTCGGTTTGAACCAGGATGCCTTGAGCCAAAATGGCTACGGAGGGCCGATTGAAGGCAGTTTGGGAGGCCTCTCGGGGGCCGTTTGGGGTTCTTGGGGGGCCTCTTTTTGGGCCTCTTTTTGGGCCTCTTTGGGGCCTCGTGGGGCCTCTAAGGGGCCTCTAGGGGGCCTCTTGGGCTCTCTTGGGGGCCTCTTGGGGCCTCCTGGGGGCCTCTTGGGGCGGAAGGCTCGAATTGTCGGTTCGTGTTCCCCCTCTTGGGGCCGTCTCGGGGCCCTCTTGGGCGATCTTGGGCGCCTCTTGGGCCGTCTTGGGGCACTCTTGGGCCGTGTTGGGACTCTCTTGCGCCGTCGTGGCGCCCTCTTTGAGTGCCTCTTGGGCCCTCTTGAGCTGATTTCTGGGGCCTCGTGGGCTGTTTTGGACCGTCAGAAACACGAAACAGCGAGAACACGAAAAACCTGCAAAAAAACAGCGAGAAAACCTTCTTGTTTCGCCTCCTGAGGGCCTCGTGGGAGTCCTTTTGAGGGCATCTTGGCCGTCTTGAAGCCCTCTTGGGCTGTCTTCAAGCCATGTTGGACCAAATTTGAAAGGGTCTTGTGCGGTCTTGGGCTCTCTTGGAGCGCTCTTGGGCCATCTTGGCGCCCTCTTGGACTTCTCTCGGGCCCTCTCGTCGCCCCCCTTCCCCTCCTTTGACGCGTGCTGGCACCCCCGACGCGTCCAAAACGGCCGGAAGAGAAATCAGCGCACTCCTCTGCGAGGCCCCTGGGACCCCTTCCCCATCAATATATATATATATATATATATATATATACACATACATACATACATACATACATACATACATACATGCATACATACATACATACATACATACATACATACATACATACATACATGCATACATGCATACATGCATACATACATACATACATACATACATTACATTACATTACACTACATTACATTACATTACATTACATTACATTACATTACATTACATTACATTACATTACATTACAATACAATACAATACAATACAATACAATACAATACAATACAATGCATACATACATACATACATACATACATGCATGCATGCATGCATGCATGCATGCATGCATGCATGCATACATACATACATACATACATACATACATACATACATACACACACACACACATACATACATACATACATACATACATACATACATACATACATACATAGAGAGAGGGAGAGAGAGAGAGAGGGATGCACCGCACAAAAAGTACGCAAGCATGCACGCAATCCCTCGCCTTTGCCATGTTGTTTCCCCGCATCCCTTCCTCGTTGCGCTCCCCCCCTCCTTTTCCCTCCTCCCACCGTGCCTCCTCTATGCGTGCCCAGACCCCCCACCATCCCCCCATTACATCTCACACACCCCGTCCTTCTATGTAGCCACCATCTTGTCGTCTACCCGTCCTTCCGCCCCTCCCTCCCCGCCGCCCTCCCCCCACCTCGCCCGAACATGTTACTTCCTGCGGGCAGGAACCACGAGAAGCCCTTAACGACGGCCCTTCCGTCGCTGGTCTTCGCCTGGAGGACGTATTCGAAGAGCCTGGCACCGGTGGAACTTGCCGGGGCGGAAGTGGCAGAGTACGAAGGGAGGACTCGGCGTGACCGGGCGAAGAAAAAACAAAATCAAACAACAATCGTGGAGGGAGCTGTAATCAATGAAACAGCGAACGCGAAACAGATAGGAGAGACAAAGAAAGATATAAATGATCCAAACGACGGGGCGAGACAGTCCGTTTTCCTCCCGCGGTTCCCAATGGCTCTGTCGACGGGCACAGCGCCAGCATCGCTGCGGGAGCAGGAAAGGGCGAGCGCGCGGCGACGCGCCAGAAGCCCAAAGAAAGGAGGCAACGACGGCCGGCAGGACAAGCAGCAACACCACTCCCGGCAAGCAGGTCGCGGCGTCGATCACAGCATGCCGCACGCAGCGCGGGCACCCTCCGCCCATGCCCTCGCCGTCGCCGTCGCCGTCGCCGACCGCCATCGCCCACATCGCAAGTGTGGCTGGGATTGTACAATTTGACGTCGAGGACAAACGAAACTACAACATGATTCCCTCACAACAGAAAACCAACCATAGCGGATACAAAACACTGTGTTTGTAGCACCACATGATGTGCATACCGTGCAGAGCAACCTACGTAGTGCAATGATATAGTGAAATGTACGGTGTGCATTCAATGGTGCGCCATCTACGTTGTGCAATTTACGTTGTGCGATCCGTGAAACCCCTATGCATGGTGTGATATATGGAGTGAAATCCACTTGCCGAACTTGAAGTTGTCAACTCCACTGCTCGCGCAAACATCCCACCCACCCACCCGCAACTTCGTTTGCGAAATCTCTTAAGACCGTGACGGTGGGTACCAAATGGCACTTGGCAACGACAGCTACGCCGACGACGACAGCGACAACGACGACGACGACGCCGCCGACAACGACTACGACGACACCGACGACGACTCCAACGACTTCGACGACGCCGACAACGACGACGACGACGGCGACGACGACGACGACGGACGACGACGACGACACCGACGACGGCGACGACGCCGACGCCGACGACGACGACGACGATGACAACGACGACGACGATGACGACGCCGACGACGACGACAACGACGACACAGACGACGACGACGACGTCAACGACGCCGACGCGACGACGACGACGACGACGACGACGACGACGACGACGACGACGACGGCGGCGGCGACGACGACGCCGACGTCGACGACGACGACGACCGACGACGACGACGAAGACGACGACGACGACGACCGCCAACGAAGACGACGACGAGGGAGGAGGGAGGACGACGACGGCGACAACGACGACAACGACGACAACGACGACAACGACGAGAGGAGGGAGGACGGCGACGACGCGAACGACGAAGAAGGAGGAAGGACGGCGACGCCGACGACGACAACGACGAGGGAGGAGGGAAGACGACGACGACGACAACGACGACGACGACGACGACGGCGACGAAATAGGAGGGACGACGACGAGACGCCGACGACGGACGACGACGACGACGAGGAGGAGGAGGAAGGACGACCACGGCGACAACGACGACGGAAACGACCACGACGCCAAAGAGGACGACGACGACGAACACGAGGAAAGACAGAGGACGACGTAGGCGACGACGACGACGACGACGCGGGAGGAGGGAGGACGGCGACGACGACGACGACGACGACGACGACGACGACGCAAGAGCGCACGCGCACGCTTTTGTTGAAAATCCGTGTTGCGAAACCTTGTGTTTTCGTGATTTTTTGGACACACGATTTTGAAATCCTTCCGAAACCGATGGGTTGTTTGTGAAGGATTCTGGCATACGCGCGCGACGACGCACCCGTCTGCATTTCGCCCCGTTTTTTTGAAAAGGATTCTCGCGACGGCACACGCGCAAGGGCGTTCAACAGATTTCGACATGCGCGCGCGAAGCCCGTTTTGTAGCATGCTGTGAAAATATTGAAAAACGCATGGTTCTCTTAAGATTTCGCAAGAGCTCGCGAGTAAGCTTTCTTACCAAATCAGTGTTGCGAAATCCTGTGATTTTGTATGTTTTTGGGAAACTAGATTGCGAAATCCTTCCGACACCGAAAGTGTTTGAAGGATTTCGGCATGCGCGCGCGACGACGCGCGCGTGCGCACTTCGTCCCATTTGTTGCAACGGATTCGCGAAACAAATCTTATGTTAGAACAAAAAATGTCCCCGCGTATTTGTTTTGCAGGGAACCTCAGGGGGACCGATCCTGGTTTCCCTGAGATAGTGTACATTCATAACTAGGATGGACATGTGGTCAGAATCGTATATGAGTTACATACCCGAAAGGGGGGCGGATAACGCCGGGGGGGTAGAGTCTACTCTTTTTAGAAAGGAGAATCTACACGGCACAATGCAAGTTGTGCTCTGTATGACGGTTTGCCCGCGTTGTGCGGTCGATGCTGTGCAAACTATGTTGTGTTATACGCGTGGTGCTATCTAAGTTGTACAATCTATGTGGTACACTCTACGCGGTGCAACTCACCAATGCTCGCAATGATTTGTCAACGACACAGCTCGCGCAATCATCCCACCCACCAGCAACTTCGGTTGCAAAACCCATGCGGCGGCGATTGCGATGAGTACTTGGCGCTGGCTGGTGTAACTTTGCGGCCGCGCTAGCCCGCGCATGCTCGCGCGCGCACCGGCCAGCCAGTGCGGCGCGACCGACGCGGCCGCTGTGGCGCTGACCGTTGGGCATTTCCCAACGGTCACTTCCGTGCGAGTCGGTGGTTTGGGCGGGCGCAGTATCATGGCGACGCCGACAAAAGAAGACACGATGATGAAAGCATCGATGATGGTGACGATGGTGGCGGTAACGACGGCAACGCCAATGACGATCCCGATGTTGACCACGCCCGCCGATAACAATGACGATGTCCTCGCGTCGGCGATGAAAGTTTTGGAACGAGGTCGACATGCGCGCGCGGCCGACGCGCGCAATTGGTCTGCGTGGAATAATTTGACACGGATCATGCCACCCCCCAGCACGCGCGCAAGCGCGCTCGGATGAGTTCGACATGCGGCGCGACAGCCCCCTTTGGCAAAATTTGATGACAACGTTGACAAGCCGTTGCTTTTCTTGACAACTCGCAAGAGCGCGCGCGCAGGTTGTTTTGAAAGCTGCTGTTGCGAAACATGTGTGTTTGTATGTTATACTCTCGGGACACTCGTTCTTGAAATCCCGGCGAAACCGAGCGTTTTTGGAAGATTCTGGCGTGCGCGCGGGACGATGCGCGCGCATGCAGTTCGTTTCGTTATGCTGCGAAGGATTCTTGCGACAGCACGCGCGCAAGGGCCTTCGAACGATCTCGACATGCACGCGCGAGAGGCCCGTTTGGTTGAATGTCATGAACAAAAAACGACGCTTTCCGTAGGAATCTGAAAGAGCACAAGCGCAGGCTGTGTTTGAGCATCTGCGTTGCGACACCA